AAACTCTTCCCCACGCCTATTTGTTCAACCGAGACGCAGCAGCACTCTTTTTTTTAATGAATAGAACAGCTCAATGTCGAAACTAATTCGCTTGTATGTAGCAGTATCTATTGTCCAGTTGACTCTACCTATTCATTGAATTAGCTTTATTGCAATTTATGTGTTAATTAGCTTCGCATAACAACAATAACAACAACAAACCCAGTATAATCCCACGAGTGAGCTTTGGGGAAGGTATTTTCTTACCCCTACCTTGTGAAGCTAGAGAGCTTGTTTCCGATAGACAATCAGCTTAAGAAAAGCATAGTTCACAATGTTGAAAAAGAAATATGGTAGTGAAGAAGCCATGGAAAAAGAAGCGGTAACACAACAGGATAATAAGCACCCAAGGGTGTGGCCTAGTGGTCAATGAAGTGGGTGAGAACCAAGAGGTCTCAGGTTCAAATCCCAGCGGAGGCAAATACTAGGTGATTCCTTACCATCTATCCAAACCTTGGTGGATAGAGTTACCTGGTACCTGTTGCAAGTAGGAGGTGGCAGGTATCCCGTGGAATTAGTCGAGGTGCGCGCAAGCTGGCCCGGACACCACGGTTATCAAAAAAAAAAAAAAAAGAAACAACCGGTAGTAATTGAAATCTAAGAATAAGAAAATACGAAAATAACACTAAAACTACTGGAATGAAAAAGATATCCGCTCAACATAAATACATAATTTCAATGATACTTTAATTGTAATCAATACAGAACGTTTTATAAAATATAATATGAAGTATGTTGCCTAAGGTTGTACTTTCATATAGCATCCATATTTGTGTGTTTGTCTGTACATACACACGGAAAGAGACACCGAGACACACGGGGGATCCACCTTGAAAGGTGGGGGTTGACGTGGCGCCTGCCAGCTTGGCAAAAAATTTATATATTTATTTTCTAAAATATGTTAAATATATTAGCTTGACGCCCACAATCTCAAACTTAAGATGGGTGCCAATGCTATGGTTGAAAACATGTTAAAGGTTTTTTATTAGTGTGAGGTCCAAAGTGAGTTTGCTTTAAATCGGTAACCTTCCAGCTATCTTTCTTTGTCCTTTCCCTTTTCGTTGTCTTTTTTATTTCCTATTTTTTCAATCTTTTTCCCTATTCGTCTATCCCATTCCCTCTTTTTTTCTACATTATCTTTTTCCTCCTTGATTGAACTTTTTTATCTGCTACCTCGAAGCGATCGAGAATTCACAACAACAACAACAAAAAATCCAGTGTAATCCACCGAGCGGGGTTTAGGAAAGGTAGTGTGTACGCAGACCTTATCCCCACCTTGAGAAGGTGGAGAGGTTATTTCCGATAGACCCTTGACTCAAAGAAAGATTTTTGATAATAAGAAAACCGAATCGAAAGAAACAGTTGGCAGTGATAGAAATCTAAAAAGATAAGAAAGTACATGACTAACACTAATACTACTAATATGGATAAGAAAAACGCACGACTACCTATTAATCTTCCACCATAATACTTGACCTTCACACCCTCCTATCATGTGATGTCCTCGTTAAGATGAAGCAATGTCATATCCTGCCTAAGCACCTCTCCCTAATACTTCTTTAACCTACCTCTACCTCTCCTCAGACCCACAAAGGCCAACCTTTCACACATGCTTACTGGGGCATGTCCGAACCATCTAAGCCTAGTTTCCCGCATCTTATCCTCCACGGGACCACACTCACCTTATCCCGAATATCTTCATTTCTAATTTATCTAACTGAGTATGTCATCACATCTATCTCAACATCTTCATTTTACTACCTTCATCTCCTGGACATGGGAGTTGTTGACTGGCCAACACTCCGCCCCATACAAAATAGTCGGTTTAACCACCGCTCTGTAGAACTTACCTTTAAGTTTTGGTGGCACATTCTTATCACACAGAACACCGAATGTGAGCCTCCATTTCATCCACCTCGCTCCAATACGATGTGCTACATCCTCGACAATCACTCCATTTCCTTGGATTACTGACCCAAGGTGAGTTGATCCTGGTGCAATCCTATCACCACTAGAAAGTATTCCGAGTCTCCTCTCATTGTCCCCACCCACGTTTCAGCCCCATCATACATGTCCTTTATCACCATAGTGTAAGCCACAAGAACTCCTCTAGCCTCCAAACAACTCCATAGGTCCTCCCTTGGGACTTTGTCGTATTGTTTTTCTAGGTCAATGTACACCATCTGCAAGTCCTTCTTTCTCTCCCTATACAACTCCACCAATCTCCTTACAAGGAAAATGGCTTCCGTAGTCGAACGCTTCGGCATGAATCCGAACTGATTCCCGGAAATAGACACGCTAATCCTCACCCTCGCTTCCACCACCCTCTCCCAAAGTCACGACTCTTAATCTTAAATCCTACTTTCTTTTATCAAGTTTGAAAACCTTTCATCTTACTAGCAATCTTGGATTACGATCGAATTAAATGTTCATTTCTTGTGTTTATTATATCATGAAATTTTGTGATTTTCTATGATTGTTCACTTCAATTTAGAATTCTTTGTTTTTAAATTGTGATGAAAACTTTGTACGCATTAGGGTAGAGAAAACATGAATTTTCAAGTATTGTTTTTGAAACGTACATTATATTAATCTAGTTCTACATTACTCTATAAAATACGTTGTTTTTAATTTGATCCAGAGAATAATCACATTTGCATAGATAATTATCTATATATAATTATAAACCTGGGAATAGTAAAGCTGATGTGGCACCTCTCATAGTTGAGGATTGCTATCTTTTTTCTATTTTTTGGCTTTTCCACCAATTTTTTCCACAATTATGTTCATAAAAATATTCAAAAGATCCGTTCACTTTCTCAATTAATAATAATAACTGCCAGCAATCTGTATTAAGAAAATAGCGAGCAATCAAAATAAGAAGCGTTCTTCTTCAATACCCAAACAAATCCTCACACCTCTTATCTTTCTTAATTAATGGTAAAGGAGTTCATTACATTGAAATCGAAAACGGAAAATCCTCATATTCAGAAATTGACCAATTCTACTGCCTCTTCAAATTAAAGAATGTAGCAATACACTTTTCTTGTACTATCTGCTACGTTTTAGACATTGAGGACTCCGGCAAAAAAGGAACCTTTCTGCACGAGGTGACTTAGTTTTAGATCATTTCCACAGTCACGTGTGTTCTTGAGCATTATTTGAATCTCATTCTTCCTCACATATTTTTTTCACTTCAGATGAAGTATTTGTTGCTTTCTTTCCTTAGTTATTGGGGTATTGTTATTTGTTTTAATGTTTACAATTTTATTCAGAATTGGGTTACTTATCAATTGTACGGTATTCCATATATTGTTGTTATACGTGGGATTCAACTTCATAATGCAGGAAACAAGTATTTGAATAAGATTGTGTGCTATTTACTTAATTAGCAACATTTATCTTCATGTCAAGTACCCTTTTTTAATGTTGATGTAGCATTGTTGTATGTGGGATTTAATTGCTAAATGCTGGAAAAAAATATGTGAATAAGATTTTATGCTATTTACTTAATTAGCAGCATTTATCTTCATGTTGAATACCCTTTTTTTTGTCAGCATATCAAGTACCCTAACTATTGTTGTAATTAAAGAGACCTAAGAAACTAATGTCTATTCTCGAGAGTTCAAATATTTAACAAATAGACTGATAGGTTGTGTTTTAAAACACAAGTAATTAACTAGAGTTGATTTTATATATATATCAGAAGTATTGAAGTTTTTTCTGTGTTTTAGAAGCAATATTTTCTAGCAATGATGAGGTTTATATCTCGAAATATTCTGGTTTAAGTAATGGTGATCTTCTTTCTTTTTATTTTTGGTTGATACTCTTAACGAGATGTTCAACAGTTCAAGGCTAACAAACATGTGGTTTGATGTTAGTTCCCTTTTGTATTTTGTTTTTCTGAATTTACACAACTTATATTCTTATTTGCATGTTGATTATGCTCTTAAGACTTGACACCTCTTAGGCCAAAAAAACTAATTATCTTTTTTCCTCTAGCTTTTATATTTTTTTTTCAATTCATGTTAGAAGCCCAAAAAGTTACATAAATAATTAATCCTTTCATAAGAACTGTTTCTTGCATAAGTCTCATCGAGAAATTAGGATTATTTTATAGTGTGCCTTTATATTTTCTTTTACCTTTTTAATTCGTATGAGGTAATTGTTGTTTGTTATCTTAAATTTCGTTACGTTATACTAATCTTTTTTCGTTTTTTCTTTTTAGCACATGGTATAAACTTATATCTCTTTTATTTTTTCTTCCTACTAAAACGACTAAAATTATTTTAAGTTGAAATTACATTATAAATATGATCTTCCAGATCACTACTCCTACACATAAACAGGAACATGGATATTCAGAGAGATAAAGACATTAATTTTTCTAGCGGAACATGTGGGCGTTTGGACATAAGAATTGTAAAATTTTGAAAAAAGTAAAATTCTATTTTAAGTGAAAATAGTATTTGAAAATTAAAGTTGTGTTTGGATATGAATATCGTTTTGGATTGTTTTTGAATTTTTATGAGTGAGCTAAAGTGAAAATTTTTAAAAATAGCTTTTTGGAGTTTTTAAATTTTCGAAAAATTCCGAAATTTATTTTCAAGTGAAAATCAAAAATTTCATGGTCAAACACTGATTTCGAAAAAAGGGAAAAAATTAAAAAAATGAATCTTTTTTTATGGCCAAACGGCCCTTACGGTTGACGTTAAAAGGGACGAGGAAGATAAGGAAATAGAATTGAGAAAAGATTATGTTTTTGAGTCGGGAAAGAAAAAGGTTGATGAGTTAGGGATCTTCTTTATATTGTTTTCTTATTTTATTATTTTTTTCTTTCTCCAAACAAGAAAGTGTTCCTGAAAAAATTTCTTCACATAAATTTGAGTGATTTTCACGGCATATAAAGTTCGAGGATCTTCATGATCAATTCCCAAAAGTATCTGGTAAAGGCTAAAATGAAATAGAGAGATTAACTTCAGATATATATTCCAAAATTTATTATATAATTATGTTATTTGTTTTATACTATCCGGTTTCGTTTTTCCAGATTAATCAATTACATGAATTTCACTTTTAGTGAGCGTTTGGACATAAGAATTGTAAAATTCCAAAGAAAAGTGAAATTTTTTTTTCAAGTGAATGGTATTTGAAAATTAGAGTTGTGTTTGGACATGAATATAATTTTGGGTTGTTTTGAATTTTTGTAAGTGATCTGAGTGAATTTTGAAAAACAGCTTTTTGAAGTTTTTAAAATTTTCGAAAAATCCCAAAATTCATCTTCAAGTGAAAATTGAAAATTTTATGGTCAAACATTGATTTTGAAAAAAAGTAAAAAAAAATCGAAAAAAGTGAAAAAATTCTTATGTCTAAACGGGCTCTTAATCATGGGGATTCTTCTCTTTCAAGAAAGTGAATTTCTTGGAGAAAACAAAAGAAGTAAGGTAACATCAGTAAAACTTTCACAAAGAGACTGCTATTCACTGCATTACTAGAACTCGGAATAGGAAGAAAAAGGGCTGAAATTTCACAACATAATTCAATCATGCATTAATACTCGTAACTATTGCAATTAATGTATTATCTACTCATATGAGAAGTTGAATAACCATTCAAGAATTAATGAGAACACTTTAGTGGCAGATGACTTTTGCGCTTCCTAGACAAATC